GCAGCAAATGTATGCAAACAACGCCAGTAATGGCTGCCGCCAACGACGAGAATGAATCCGAACTTTTATTGTCGATAACTCTAAAGCGGTAGATTTTATCAAATTTATCAAGTCATTTTTGAATGAAGCATGTATTTTTACACCTAAATGTAAATATTCGGGAATTTTTTTATTGCAAACTGAGCGCGGGTTCAAATCTGTAAATTAACCAAATTGTGTTAGACCAAGGTTTTATTTTACCCAATTGTTCACTCAATACAAAACCTAGATGCCACTCAAGATGGCGGACTACTGAATGAGGTTATTTTTCCGGACATAGAAAATACAAATTATGAGGATATATAGTATAGATAATGGTTAATCCTGGACTTGTTGAGGTTGTGGTGATCATCCTTTCGGGAGTCTTTTCAAAAAAACAACGATTCTTGGGAGTTAAATAGTTACTGTATACCCACTGTGAAATAAAAAATAACCTGCGTATTATACGCCGAGGGTATAGACTACAGTTATTCAACTAAGAACAGTAAAACCCGGTGTATCACACTAGTTCCCTAATGAGTAAAGAATTAAATATATATTATCATAAATCATTAGATTACGATTACGAATCGAAATAAAAATTAATTACTCACAAGTTAGTTTTAATTTGTTTTCCTAAATGTTATTCACCAAAATATATGTGCGTGTTATACACTAGTCAGCATTATGTCGAGAGTAATATAGTATGTAGAGAGGAAGAGAAATAGATATTTGCACAAAGAGATAGATAGCTATGAACAGAAGATAGATAGATGATAGATAGATAGATAGATAGATAGATAGATAGATAGATAGATGAGTGATTGATTCCACCTGTTACTCCGACCCCTCTGTCTTTCTTTTAGTATTTATCTGTGCGTGATTTTTTTTTATCTTATTCGCTTTCTTTATCTTTTGAAGAGCAGTCACGTGAGCAAGATGGCTGCTGTCAAAGTTTCTTTTGTTCTTTTCAAAATGGCATCATGATTTATTTTTCATTGTGATTTCTAACTTAATTTTTGGCATACTCACTTTGTGTGTTTGTAAAAGAAAGAGTGGGATTGACGTGTCTATTTGTGAATGTATTTAAGTGACGCCATTTTTTATTTTCGTATGTCCGTTCATCAAAACAAAACATCTTCGACTCTAAATATTAGACAAATACGGAACGTCTTGCCTGATCATACTGAGTAAATGTACCGGGATACTTAAATTCTTGGCTAATAAGAATAATGAAAGAATTTTAGAAATCGGTTTGAAATTACTCTTAGAATATTAGTATATTCAATGATACCAGCGACAAGTTAATACAATGTATTACCGTTTGACAAACACTCCTAATTTAGGCTTTATTATGTACTAGTTTAAAAGCCACCCTATCGGGCGGCATTTAAGCTAGCTCTTACAGAGAGCTCTTGAGCATGTGAGCAACGAGGAAGTTTTAAAGAAAATAAAAACAAAAAGGACATTTATACTTAGAATTTGAAAGAGACAAGCATCAGAGATGTGGTTCTACAGAAGTAGGCTGAGAATACCATGAACGGAGCATGTGAGCAATGAGGAAGTTTTAAGGAAAATGGAAACAAAAAGGACACTTATACTTAGAATCAGTAAGAGACAAGCATCAGAGATGTGGTTCTACAAAAGAAGCCTGAGAATACCATGGGCGGCACATGTGAGCAACGAGGAGGTTTTAAGGAAAATGGAAACAAAAAGGACACTTATACTTAGAATCAGAAAGAGACAAGCATCACAGATGTGCTTCTACAGAAGAAGGCTGAGAATACCATGGACGGAGCATGTAAGCAAAAAGGAACTTTTAAGGAAAATGGAAACAAAAAGGACATTTATACTTAGAATCAGAAATAGACAACTGAAATTTCTTGAACATTGAATATACAATGTTGAAGGAAGGTTTTGGAGAATTTGATACTTACGGGACATATCGAAGGAAAATGGGAGAAGGTATGGTAGTATCCACCTACCTGATCAGCTTGTGTAAATGGATTACACAATGAGAGTGAGAAAGGCGTCACAAAGACAAACGTTACTAAGAGCTACAGTTGGGGAGAGCCATGATCGACCACATCCTGAAACACGTTTCAAAGGCATTTCAATATGTGTGTACCGAGATCGAAACAAAATTTATTGAAAAATTTTGATGTGAAGAGCATACAAAATTTTTAATCGTTTTCTTTTTCATTTTTTGCAGTTGAATTGGCAGAATATCATTACTTTGTCAACCATAACCAGAGAGTAATTAGAAAGTGGTGCCGTAGATTATCTCTCCTAAACCTTACTCCGTCATCCGTTTACTGATGCATTCTGGGTAAGTTATGCGTTGTTTTCCGCTGTCCCCCATGACTTCAGTTTGTCCTGTGAATATCAAATTTTTCAAGCCTGCTTTCCGCATTATGTATTCGAATAATTTGAACTGTCTGTTTATGATGCTACTTATAAGTGTCCATTTTTATCTCCATTTTATCTATAACTCCGTTGTTACTTACATATTAAGTCCATCGTAATCTCAACATCCTTTAGTAGAACCACATTTCTATCGCTTCAAATCTCTTCTTCATGTGTGATGAGATTTTCCAGATTTCACTGTCATGTAGGAGGACAGATGTTATATAACAGTTAAGTACTGTTTTCTTTATTTATAACGACTTTTTTTTCTGTTTCTTAATACTTTTTTTAGCTTTTGGAAGGCATCTTTCGCTATTCCAATGCGCCTTCGGATTTTAGTGTCGCCCGTTCCGCCTTCTATTAAAAAAAAAAAAAACTTCCTAGATATTTAAATTTTCGGACTTGCTTGATTTTGACATCTCCAATTTGTAATTTGCATCTTCTTGTCTTACACTCCTTTCTAATTTTGTATACTTGGTGAATTCATTTTCTATCCGTATACAGGCTGCTTGTTCCCAGTATAGGTTCTGGATTATTCTAATGCCAACAGTTCTTTGTGACATATTTTATCATGTGCTGCTCTAGCAAATATAATCCTATATAGTAAATACATATATAATAAATGATAACACAACCATATTTTATTTCCTCGGTTACTTAGCCCGTGCCATTACCTCGGATAAATAATGGACATTTCCTTTTAGAATGCAAGAAAATATTTTTTCAACTGAGCACTGTTGAATGACAGGCTAATTCTAAAAACAACAGCCAATTGCGTTAATGCAAAGCTCTTCAGTAAAATAAATGGAGCACTTAGGTTGTTTGTTTACATTTCTAAAAAAAAACAATACGCTTGATTTGGCTGACTCATTCTGTCGAGTGAAGATAGTTCAGCGGTAGAGATTTTGGCTGACATCAAATCGGTTGGCTTTCCATCCGAGCTTGAGGTATTTGGATGTCTAGTCGCACTGAAGAGCAGTGATACAGCGAAACAGTACTGTCTGTGAATGATTATATATATATATATATATATATATATATATATATATATATATATATTTCAGGATATTTCGCCAAAAACATGTAAAAATCGCTACGCAATTGCAGTAGTGTTTCATTGCGTATCAATGCATCTCATCGGATGATTGTAAACTATTGGCGAGTGAACAATTTATTTAGATTTAAAAGAAAAATACAATCTCTTACGAAAAAAAAAAGAAAAAGATAAGCCATATATAGTGCAACGCAATACAAATAAAATACAAGAAAAAGCATTAAAATTTACTAAATTGTAAGGTAAAATTGCTCTACTCTGTATAAACCCCTCTTTTAAATTAAATGTTACGAACATTGGAATTGTACTCTATTCGTTCTCATCATACCTGGGTATATATATATATATATATATATATATATATATATATATATATATATATATATATATATGAAGAAATATAATCTTAAGGTGTGCTATATTTATGGGATAAAGTGCTCAATATCGGAGATAGAGCGTGTGTAAAAATATAAAAGTGAACATAAAGTCAACACTTAGAGGCGACAATTTGTTTCATGCTAGACGCAATCGTCAGGCCTGACGATTACGTCTAGCATGAAACAGACTGTCGCCTCTAAGTGTTGACTTCAATGTTCACTTTTATATTTATATATACATATATATACATATATATATATAATGAAATGCATTAAGTCCATCAATAATTTAATATATTTTCTGTTTATGCGTTAGTTTTATAGATACAATTTATTTAAGTAAATGTTCTGTTTTTTAATTAAACAGTATTAACTCACAGGTCGAATAGAGGGGGAAAGAGACAAGGTAAAGCAACGCATGACATACCTGGCGGGCTTAAGCAAGTGGATGATAGCACGTTGTGTGGGGGAGTTGGCAGAGGCACGAAACTTATTGAGAGCTACAAGGGATAGGGTGAAGTGGAGAGCAATGATCGCCTGCGTCATGAAAGGACGCAACACATTAAAAGAACTTCATTTACCGGCCTGAATGTTCGAGAAATTTCGTAGAAGTTATGCGCTCTCCGACAGAAATCGAACCTGTATTCCTATACGGAAACCGTCATTTGATCTGATGTGCTATACCACTTAGCTACAGAGAAGCGTCTGGTTAGCAAAGTCCAAATTACTGTTTTTAAACACACAATCTTTTTTTTCTCGATCGATCATATCTGCTTACGAAAAGTATCTTAACGTAAAGAATGACAACATATAATGAAATAAGATACATTTATACGGGTTGTAGATCTCGCAAGGATCTTATTCAATCATTAGATTAATAATTATGATTAATGCACTATTAGTTACGAATATCCTCATCTTTGATGATGTTATTATCACGGCGTATTTAATCATTTCAGCCCAAGGAAAGCAATAAGACGGGAGGGGTTACTGAGTGTGAGAGGTTATGAGAGAAGAAACTTTATTAGGGAAAGAAAACAATAAAAGAACAGGAATTAAGATAACGATTGACATCACATTTAAATTTTTGTGGATAAAATTTGGTTTGATTGCAAGAAGTCGAAAGAGTTTTACAAGTAATTAGCATGAACGGCATAGTATCTATCGATCTATCTATCTATCTATCTATCTATCTGACACTGTTCATATCTATCTACCTAGCTAGCTATCAAAGTCTGTTCATATCTATCTATCTATCTATCTATCTATCTATCTATCTATCTTTCTATCTATCTATCTCTAAGACTGTTCATATCTATCTATCTATCTATTTGACCCTGTTCATATCTATCTATCTCAGTCTGTTCATTATCTATCTATCTCAGTCTGTTCGATATCTATCTATATCTTAGTCTGTTCATTATCTATCTATCTATCTATCTATCTATCTATCTATCTATCTATCTATCTATCTCAGTCTGTTCATTTTCTTTCTATCTATATATCTATCTATCTCAGTTTTCTCATTATCTATCTATCTATCTATCTATCTATCTATCTATCTATCTATCTCAGTCTGTTCATTATCTATATATCTATCACTCTCGATTCATATATATCTATCTCAGTTAATCTCTCACTCACACTATGCTTTCTCTCTTCCCATTTATCTCAGTCTGTTCATATCTATCTATCTATCTATCTATCTATCTATCTATCTATCGGTCGAACTATTTCTTTCTCTTTCTCTATCCAAGTTTGTTTATCTCTCTCCCATCATGATCTCTCTCATTATCTATCACATTTTGTTTCTCTCTTTCTTCTCTCTCTCTCTCTCTCTCTCTATCTATCTATCTATCTATCTATCTATCTATCTATCTATCTATCTCTAATACCCTATCTATCTCAGTTTGTTCATGTCTCTCCTACCCTGTACACTCTCTTTATCTCTTTGTCTGTTCATATTTATCTATCTATCTAACTAGCTAGCTGTTTGGCCTAAGAAAGATCAGCTAGAGATGGCAATAACGGTCTCATGGGTTTACATCTGATTCATGGAAAAATGGAAAAGACTTGTCTATTTTAAATATTTTCATTTGTACCCTCTTAGTTCTTTAAATAATGACCTGAATTCACACTTATAATTGTTATTGCAATATTTTGAGTTGCTGCTATCAAATACATTACGGTAATTTCCACAGGCATTTTATAACTATAGAACACGCCATGAGTTTATTCAGAACTATGATTCATCAAAAAAAAATTCAAATAGGAAAACAGAGAGACTTTCAGGTGTACTGTTAGTGAATGTCTAAATTAGGAATATATACCATACGGTAGGTAGTATTGTGCTAATCTGTCGCTACTGTCATTTGAATAAAGTAATATTCGAGAAACAGATCCAAACAGATAGCAAGCAATTTTTGCTCTGTCTGCTCGTGTCAGGCGTTCTGTAATTGTCTGACAGAACTAAAGATGCTTTTTTTTTGTTAACGAACAGATATACAATCGAGGCATCACGCAAACATATTCACAAACAGACACGCCACTTCCACTTGTTCTCTTATAAACACACAGACACACACATACAAAGTTATAAATTAAGTTAAACAATTAAGTTAAAAATTACAATGAGAAAAAAAATCATGATGCCATTTTGAAATAAACAAAAGGACGAAAAGTTCATCAGCAGCCATTCTGGTCACGTGAGTGCTCTCCAAAGATAAAGGATGAACTTCAAAGCGAATAAGATAAAAGTCACGCACAAATAAATACTAAAGGAAAGAAAGAAAGCGGGTAGGGAATAACATGGGAAATCTATCTGGCTCTCTTCTTGTTCATATCTGTCTACCTAGCTCGCTAGCTAGGGTGCGATGGGTAAATTGTCGACAATTTATATTTTTAATTTCGCGCATGCGCGTTATTTGTTTTTGATTTTGTTGACTGAACAGTATAGTAGTGACAGTTGAGCACCAGCTGTGAGAAAAAGAGCACCATGACGCAAATGACTCCGTCAGAAATCTGGAAACGGCATGCTGTACTGCTTAGCATTCGCGTCGGCAGGTCCAATACGAAACACTTCAGAGTGTTTGGGTGTCAATCTGAGGACGCCGCAGAGGATTCGGAAAGAGTTGGATGTGTCTAATGGTGATTATGAAGGTGATAACCAGTAATGGCGGCGTTATTCCTCCAACAAAGAGGCCTACATCAAGTGCCTTGAGGAGATAGTGCTTCTCTGGGTCAAGAGGGTGGCTGCTAGAAGTCATGTCTGGAAACAGGACTCTGCACCATGCTACACAAGAACGAGAACACAATCATGGCTGCCAGACAATTTCTGCGACTACATCACACCTTACATCTGGCCATCTAACTCCTCAGACTGCAATCCTCTTGATTATTATGTGTGGGGTGCAGTTGAGCGAGAGATCAACAAAACTCATTGTAACACCAAAGACGAACTGAAGGTAAAGGTTAAGGCAGCCTTCACCAACTTAAACAAGGAGACCGTCCAGGAGAGTTGATGGAGATTCCAAAGTCATATGAAGGCCGTGGTTGAAGTTAATGGCGATTTTATTGAATAAATTTACTCATTAGTATTTCAAGATATTTTGTATAATTTTAGTAAATATATCTGTTAAAATGAGATATCAGTTTTCGTGTAATTTAGATGACAATTTATCCATCGCACCCTGTGTGTGTGTGTGTGTGTATATATATATATATATAGAGAGAGAGAGAGAGAGAGAGATTACAATGAATCATTCATACAAAAAGTAGATTAGTAAAGTTAATGATATAAAATGGCAAAATCCCTTCACTAACAAAATTTTAAAGGTAAAGGTACATTAACCTACCAATCACTCGATGAATGTTGTGATGCTTGTTTTTAAAATTATAAGCGGTCTTTCTTTAATACGCAAGTACTTTCGACTGTACATTCAATATGAACTTTTTGTATCAATGATTCATTGTAATATAAATTGAACTGCACCACATATTTGGTATATATATAATAGACTACTGGTTTCCAATGAAGGCCGCATACGGAGAAAGAGTTAGGATTGTGGGATAAGGTTACTGTTCGATTACTTGACCTTTTAGATCTTGCTCTCGCTTCTTGAAGACGATTCTGACTAGCAGAGTGAAAACTGTTGAGTCCACTAAAAACACAATGATCTCCACTCTAACCGCTCGAAGGCTAAGCGTTCGAGGGTATTATAAGGTATATTTACAGCTGACAAGTTGCTCTTCAACTTGTCTTTGTATCTAAACCGTGGGCGTCCTACATTCCTGTAGCCTTGATCTAACTGGCTGTACATTAGGATCTTGGGTATCCTGTCACCAGACTTTCTCAAAACATGACCATGAGACTGTATGAGAAAGTCTCGATTCCTCCAATATTACACTTGTTAAACTGGTCTACATTGGATTCCTCTCTTGAAGGCTAATTCCACAGATGGTACATACATACATATATATATATATATATATATATATATATATATATATTAGTAAATGCTCAACGTTACAATGAGCAACTGGTTCGTTTGAATGATGAGCTGGACAAGAAAAAGACCTTTTCTTTTGATTTCTGAACTACTCAGTCAATTATGTGTCATGCGTGATACACGCTTAGGCGATCATATATCTTTCAATACATGACTGACGAGGCAGATTATTTCCCGCACTAAGTTGCCATTTCTTTCTGCGGTTGACCAGTTACCAGCCAGGGCTATAGAACCCGGTCTGTCCTGCTATTTACCCATAGTTGGTGGGAGAAGAAGAGGATTTATACCTTACCTGAGGGTATTAGCACGTAAGTGAATGCAATGGATTCGACTGGAATACTGGATTGAATAAAAAGTTAATAATGAAGATTCAAGTCTTGTGTTACAATTTTAGAAAAGGAATTTACAAAGAATTTTAATTTCATTGGGGTTCGAGTGAAAGCGCTGTATTGAATAAAAGAAACCACGACACTTGAGGACTTTCAACAACGGCAACAACTAAAATGGATTGCATGTGAAACACGAAGAGAAAAATAATAACACGAGATGCTGACTTTTCACACCCAGTTATGTGCCATGCGTGATACATGACTGACGAGGCAGATTTTTTCCAGCAGTAGGTTGCCATTTATTTCTGAGGTAGATCAGTTGCCATCCAAGTGTCTATCCTGCTATTTACCCATAGCCGGGGTGTGAGAAGAAGAGGATTCATACCTTTCCCAAGGGTATTAACACGTAAGTGAATGTAGTGGATACGACTGAAAATTGAACTCCGCTCTCCGATTCCTCAATCCAAGCCGCTATCCATTACTCCACCGTACCTCCTCGCTTAAAACGAGTATCAAAAACGTATTCTCTATTCTTCTCTCTTTCAGAATGTTTCCTTCTTTTTCTCCGTGCGTAAAACCTTTTCTGGTTAGCAGCAGTTCTAACAATTTCAAGATATCGAAAAATCTGTCGAAATATCGATCGACCCGATCGATTTTTCGACAGATTTTTCGACGGAATCGGCCTTTTATGATGGACTACACTGTTTAGCTGTAAAGTGGCGTAAGATCTAAAAAAAAAACAAAAGAAAATATTTTCCTAAAGATACAATAATGCTATGAGCTTTTTTTATGAGTATAAGATTTTATAAAAAAAAAATAAGTCATAGATACTTTTGAATTAACTCGCCAACAGAAAAAAAAACTACATTTTAATCTTTAACAAAAAGAAAATTTATAATTCATTGTTTAATAGAATTCAAGCCATGAACATCGATACTCAAGTTAATGCTCACACATCAGACTCTATATCCAAGAGATGATAATGACAGTTTTTTATGAAGGAGAAAAAGGTCGGTGCCAATCTATATGTAAACAACCCTTCATTTTAGAAGAAGAAGAAGAAGTGGAAGAAACAGAAGACTTAGAAGACTTAGAAGAAGAAGAAGAAGAAAAAGAAGAAGAAGAAAGCTTAGTAGCTGATCACTTCAGAAGTCCGCGTTGCTTGTTTCTGCTAATCTTCTGAGAAAGGTGTTCTCTGCCTGAGGTCGTACTACTTGATGGAGCGCACCTATAAGGATCTCCGGTTGAAAACCAATGACCCTGTGAAAGAAATAATAATAATAATAATAATAATAATAATAATAATAATAATAATAAAAATTGTTCTCATCACTTTTCAAAGGGCTTTATCTTTGTAAAAATTATGTGATTTTTTTTTTTTTTTTTTGCTGTGGAAAATCTCATGATGCCATTTCTGACCTTAGGTCTCTGGATCCGGAAAAAAATGAGTACACACCAAAAATCAAAGAAAATAAAATAAAAGCAATAATAATGGTCGTGAAGGATAGTGTTCATAATAATTGGCGCTGTTGGTACAGTGCCAAAGCACCAGAATCAGGATTAAATGAATCAGAACTTCGAGGAAAAGCAGAGACTGTCCTAAACATGACGTTGCTGGGGTCTACGAGGATACTGAGGAAGGTGTTAGACATTTGAAAAGATTTGCTGTCAATCAATCCGATGAAAACATGCAAATTAAATAAATACTAACCTATAAATGTCGGGATATGTTATAATGCTCGTAGAAGCTCGTAATTCTGGTTAATAATCTTTCAAGAAAACACTGGCACAAAAGATTAGTAATACAATAAGAAATACTGTAGTTAATGCGGCAATGCATACGACATACTTTGCAACTTCCATTCCTATGAGCGGACGTTCGACCCATAGTGAAAGGAAGAGTATATTTTCAACTATTTATTGTAATGATGGTCGGTCTTCTTCTTACACAATAGAGTAAAGCTTAGTATCCCATTGTTATAGAAGTGTAATAATAATAATAACGCCACGATACCGCATCATACCTTCTTATATAACATCTCCAGAAACTGTCTTCCATATTTATAGATCAGGCGCTTCTGCTATATGTTTAAAGATTCTTGATAAAATCCAAAAAAGATTCTGCAACGTCATTGGTCCTGACC